TTTCTCCCAAAGGCACTGGGGCCTTGTGGATGCCTGGGAAGCTCCCACCCCAGCGTCACTCATGTCGTCCCTCACCCAGGGCCTGGGACAGCACATGGATCAGCAAATACAGGGAATGACCTACACGGATCGGCAGACCTACATGGGCTGATAGCCTCAAGAAGAAGGCACAATCTGTGCTATTGGCCCTATTTTCCAGAATGGTCCAGAGAGGTTAGGTAACTTGTTCACAGTCACACAGCAAATGGGTGACATAGCCTGGTGAGAACCGAAACATTTTGACTGTCTCTCTCTAAGATTATTATTTCTTCTGTGAATGAGAAACAGAGAGAGAGTCAGTGCCAACCGGGTCCCCTGCCATGACCCAGCCCACCGTTCAGCTGCCGAGTGGCGTCAGACAAGCCCATGTACTCGGAGTTCTCCAGGTTTCCCCTGGGAACCGTCCTGGGCTCGCCTTGCAGGGCGCCCCATCTCACCCTGCCCCGCCCACTGGCCAGTCTTCGACTCCTGGTTTGTCTCTTGCTCAGGCCTCCCTCTGCAGGTTGGCCCTGTGTTTCCTTTCACTCCTGCCTGTGTTTTTCGTGTCACCACTCCATTGAGCTGAGTGTGTGCCAAGTGACAGGACCGCCACTGCAGTGAGACCGTCTGTCCTCACTTTGCTCCCAGTCCAGGGAGGAGGCAGATAAGGACAGGGTGCCGGCAGAGTGGAGCCACGGCACTGCGGTCCAGGAGGCCCATGACTTCCCCGAGGACAGACGGGGCAGGCTTCCTCGAGTCAGGAACAGCTTAGCCCTGAGGAATGAGAAGGAGCCACCTGGCCTCACAGGGTGGGATGGGTTTCTGGACAGTGGGCACAGCCTGGACAGGGGGTTCAGAGGCAGGAGCAACTGTGACCTGCAGGTCAGCATGTTGCTTCAAGTTACAAATAATCAGCTTTACACCATAAAGGGGATTTATTCTCTCATATAACTGAAAAGTCAAGGTAAAGGACAGGCCGCAGGTGGGGCTAGATCAGAAAGTCAGCCACATTTGTCTGGGCCTTATTCAGCTCCCGCTCTCCCACATGAGCAAGCAAAATGACCAGCAGGACACTGACCTCCACATCCAAGCCGAAAGCCAGTCAGAGCAAAAGCAAGGTCCTTCCTTCCTGCAAAGTCCAGGGTTTCACTCTGATGGGATGAAATAGGTAGGACACGTCTTCATCCCTGGACCAATTGCAGCAGTGTGTCAGGGGAGCCTGCGGCCAGCCAGGTTGACTCGGAGCCCCCTGTGAGAAGGTCGGCTCACCTAACTCAGATGACAGCTGTGCTTGGATGGGAGGACAACTGTGGATGTCATTGGGCTATAAATGCAAGCCAGGTTGTCGTGACAAGTGACAAGCAGAGTAGGCCAGGGCCAGGTCAAAACGATGTTGCCATCTGAGTTAAGGAGCTGGGAGCTTACACTGCAGCCAGTGGATGTGGCCTAAGGAAGCTGTAGGGGTCGCACCTCACACATCTTGAGCCCTGGTTGTCTCCAAAAAGGTGCTGTGGACGTAATCTGATTTTTGAGCTGTGCTTTTTCTTTTTTTTTTTTTTTCCCCCTTCTTCTTCTTTTTAGTTTTTGCCATAGGGCGTGTGCACTCGCCAGAGAGAGACAAGAGAGAAACAGTGAGAGGGAAAGTGAGGAGTCACCTCCTAGGAGAGATGGCCACACTGCAACCTCTTCTCCATTCTCCTCCTGGGGTTTTAGGCACAGATACACACATGCACCCAGTGTGAGTTTCAAGTCTCCAGGTCCAGGACTTGAACTGTGGTTGGCCATGTGGGAGTCCAGCACTTTAACCATTATACCACCTGCTGGCCCCAGGCTGCCCTTCTTTTTACCAAAAGGTCATCAATCTCTCTTGAATTCTCACTTTCCTGGGGAAACAAAATATCCTGCCCATTACTGAGCTACACATCGAGGAGGGGCAGAAACGGTAAGATGAGTAGGGATGGAGAAAGCGTTCCAAGCGAGGATTAAAGAGAGGGCGCTCAGGTACAGTGGTGGGACTACAGAGGTGTCCACGAAGCCTGTGCACTCTGGGGAGTCGTATGGGCACTTGGGGCATCCCTGTTAGCTGTCTCTGATAGACTGTGCTCCCCTTCTCTGTAACCCTCCAACTATGGTCATCTGAACACCATTGAACAAGATGGGTCAGCTCCAGATCGAGCCCTCTGTCCCCCTTCCTGGTCCCCTACCCCTCCACATGCAAGCAATTGGAGGACGGCTGTGGATTTGGACTCTGATTCTGCTTCCTCCTTCCCCTAGAGCTTGGGCAAATCATCTAATCTCTTCGAGTTCCAAGCCAAAAGGGAAACTAATATCTAGCTAGAGGTACACTTTCAGGATTATCTGAAAAGTTAGATATGCATGAGCCTCATGTCCAGGCTCTTGGTGGATCATCAAAGAACATTCATTCAGATGTGGAAAAATGAAATTCAAGTTCAGCTGTTGCCTAATAGATGCCAGAGGCTCAGCATACATTATTTTATCTTATCTTGATCCCCACTCTCTAAGTGGGGACATTATTATCTCATTTTGCCAAAGAGCAAGTCTCCAGGTCCAGGACTTGAACTGTGGTTGGCCATGTGGGAGTCCAGCACTTTAACCATTATACCACCTGCTGGCCCCAGGCTGCCCTTCTTTTTACCAAAAGGTCATCAATCTCTCTTGAATTCTCACTTTCCTGGGGAAACAAAATATCCTGCCCATTACTGAGCTACACATCGAGGAGGGGCAGAAACGGTAAGATGAGTAGGGATGGAGAAAGCGTTCCAAGCGAGGATTAAAGAGAGGGCGCTCAGGTACAGTGGTGGGACTACAGAGGTGTCCACGAAGCCTGTGCACTCTGGGGAGTCGTATGGGCACTTGGGGCATCCCTGTTAGCTGTCTCTGATAGACTGTGCTCCCCTTCTCTGTAACCCTCCAACTATGGTCATCTGAACACCATTGAACAAGATGGGTCAGCTCCAGATCGAGCCCTCTGTCCCCCTTCCTGGTCCCCTACCCCTCCACATGCAAGCAATTGGAGGACGGCTGTGGATTTGGACTCTGATTCTGCTTCCTCCTTCCCCTAGAGCTTGGGCAAATCATCTAATCTCTTCGAGTTCCAAGCCAAAAGGGAAACTAATATCTAGCTAGAGGTACACTTTCAGGATTATCTGAAAAGTTAGATATGCATGAGCCTCATGTCCAGGCTCTTGGTGGATCATCAAAGAACATTCATTCAGATGTGGAAAAATGAAATTCAAGTTCAGCTGTTGCCTAATAGATGCCAGAGGCTCAGCATACATTATTTTATCTTATCTTGATCCCCACTCTCTAAGTGGGGACATTATTATCTCATTTTGCCAAAGAGGGAACTGTAGGCTAGGAAGACTAAGTCGTGCAGGCCGCACATCTGGGAAATCTGACCTTGAACCTGGACCCTCTAAAGTCTGCTCTATGGGAACCAAGGGTGTTGGCAGACCTGAATGCCAGGGCAGGTCAAAGCCTGGTGACCCTAAGCAGCAACAATCTGAGCATACCTGCTCGTTGTTCCTTCCAGAGTGAAGGAGCGAGAGGCAAGCAGTGTGTAGTCACCACCCCGGTACATTGCTCCATCTGTGCCTCACTGACTCATTTGCAAATGCTTAAATATGCAGGTCTGGGTACTCAGCAAGCTTGCAAATACAGGAGTCTCCATTAGCACTGTTTCACTTTCCATGGTTTCAGCTACCTGTGGTCCAACTCTGACCCCAAATAGGTGGATACAGTCCAGTAAGGTTTTATTGTTTTGCTACAGAATGCATGCACTTGGCAGAGAGAGAGAGAGAGAGAGAAAGCACCACCCCCCCAAGGGAGGCAGCCATGCCACAATCCCTCTCCTCCATTCGCCTCTTGAAGAGTGGGATTTTGGTCATGCACACACATACACCTGGCATGGTCCTCACACCTTTGGGTCTGAAGTACAAACTGTGCAGTTGACCGTGTGGGATCCAGCCACCCTAACCACTGTCACTGGCTGGCCCTAACAAGCTACTTTAAGAGAGAGACCACATTCACATCCTTTTTTTAGTATATTGTTACGATTATTCTGTTTTATCATTAGCTATCATTGTTCATCTCTTACTATGCCTCATTTATAAATTCAGCTTCCTCATAGTTGTGTCAGTACAGCTGGTTCCCGACTTAGAATAGGTCAACTTACAATTTTCAACTTTGTAGCGGTGTGGTAGAAGCTGTGCTTTAGTCTCAGATTTTCATTCAAAAGTCTTGATAATAACTTTATTATAAGATGTGTAGGCTTTGTGTTAAATTATTCTGCCCGGTATGGGCTCCTATAAGTGCTCCCAGCATGCTCAGGATTGGCTAGGCTAAGCTATGATGTTCATAGGTTTGGTGTATTAAGTGCAATCTTTTTAAAAAATTGTTCTAGAAGGCATGTGTGCTCACCAGAGACAGAGAGAAAGGGAGAAGGAGAGGGAAAACCGCCCCCAACAGGGAATGGGCGTACCACAATCCCTTCTCCTTGATTTCTCCCTCCTGTCAGGACTTTGAACACACCTGCATATGGGCCCAGTGCATTTCTTCAGCCTCCTAGTCTAGGATTTGAACCATGCAGTCAGCCATGTGGAATCTGGCGCCCTTAATCAAGCCATGGGCTGGCCCGATTAAATGCATTTTCAACTTACGATATTTTCAACTTCCTGACATAACCCCTCATAAGTGAGGAGCATCTGTGTGTGTTCACTGTTATATGTGATTTCAGGCATCCACTGGGGGAGAGGGCCTACTGCAGATGTTAGCATCCCAGTGTACATGCATGTGCCGATCCTCACGGGTAAATAAGTCACCTATTGCTACTTGCAGGGTTGGCTTAACAACCAGGAAAAGACCATGGAAGGCTTCCTGGTGGTAGTGCAGAGACAGAAAATATCTTTTGTAGAGGAAGATCACAGAATGTCATCTTGTTTTCTTCCTCCTTTTTTGTGCAGATGACAGACAACCCTCTGTGCCTTCATCAAACCAGTCGCTTAACAGTCACTTCGCTAGTGACTTCCTGAGAAAGACAGAGCTCTAATTACGCATCGTGACAAACCACACCTTCTGGAGGAGGGAGGCAAAGACAAGATACCTTCCTCTTACATCGAGAACCTTCCTGCCAGGTCCTCACCCCCCAGGAGCCGGGACTGTCACAGAGATTAACTACCCCTCAAGCCCTTTGGCTGGAAGAGGAAATCACTAAGTTTGGTTAAAGCTTCGTCAGGAACTGTTAGCAACTCTTTGAGGAGTGTAGAAAGAGCAGGCTACTTGCTTTCTAAAAAGACGAGTTCTATGCCTTCTGCGCCCCAGACGGGCATTCCGCCTTCGTGTATACTCCACGATGTCTGGAACACAGGGGTGGCCATCTCTCCAGCGGAAGTGAAGTCAGCTATACCACTCCTGAGGGCTCTCTGGGAACCCCCACTATCCCTTCTGATCCAGCCTCTGTCTCTGGGATTTTTCTTCTGTAGTTCACCTCCATTCTGAGGGGTTTTCTGCAGCTGATCGCAGGGGACTCCATCAGGAAAACAAAGATAGTGACCATGAGGAAAAGGACGGTCAAAGTGCTCACCTTCCTCATCCTCTTCATCTCCCTCACCTCCTTCCTCCTGAACTACTCCCACACCATGGTAGACGCCAGCTGGTTCCCCAAGCAAATGGTCCTCGGGCTCTCGGAGAACCTCCGGAAGCTCATCAAGTACCGGCCCTGCAGCTGCGCCCACTGCGTGAGCCAGCGCGGGGTATCGCCGTGGTTCGATGAGAGGTTCAACCAGACCATGCAGCCGCTGCTGACGGCACGGAATGGGCTCCTGCAGGAGGACACCTACAGATGGTGGCTGGTGAGACCTGGGGCTGGAGGGGGGGCACCCGGAGCCCAACCCATGTGCACTGGGGTCCTGCCAGACAGCACAATCAGGTGACAGTCCGTGTGTTCAGTCACAACTGCCTGTTATGAGCAAGGCAGAGTGGGACGTGTGTGTTAGTCTCCGTGACTGCTGTGACAGAGGACCACAAGCTCGGTGGCTTACAGCAACAGAAGTATGTCCTCGCACGGTTCTGGCCACCAGAGGTGGAGTGGGTCCCCCTGGAGCCTCCGAGGAGAATCATCTCAGTTCTGTCCCCTAGCTCTGGGGATGGCTGGCCTCCTCAGATCTCTTCTGTGGCTGCCTCCACCTTCATGGCCCATGCCCCTGCCTCTGTCCCTCTCTTCTCTGAAGGCACCCATCACTGGGTCAGGGTTCAAGATGGTCTCATCTAGAGAACCCAACAGTTCCATCTGGGGAGACCCTTTTGCCACTAAGGTCACATTCAAACGTTCTAGGGACTGGGATTTGAATGTGCCTTTGGGGGACCACTGCTTCACCCTCTGTAGGCCTCAAAATGCAAATAAGAGACCAGGTCCTTCTCATGGAATTTTTTTCTGGCTGAGAGAGATGGGTACAAAAAAAAATACACAAAGGAGTCTTAGACAGAAGTGCTGTGAGGAAGCTCAGAGGAGGTTTGTGAAAGAGAAACTTGGAGAAAGGGGCCTCTGTCGATAGGGCTTTCAAGGAGGTCTCTGAGGGGTCAGAATATGCAGAGAAGACGCTGGCTATGGAAGGAACCAGGGAACATGCTGCAGGCCTGGGGCTAGAGCATGGGTAGGTCAGCTGGGGGCACTGGGAGTGGAGGAACTCGGCGTAGCTGGAGTGCCATAGTGGGGGGTGCTACGGGTGAGGTCTTGAGAGTAGACAAGACACAGGGAGGAGTCTGGGGTTTGTTCAAAATGCAACAGGAAGCAACCAGAGGAGTTGCATGATGCACTCTAGTTTCAAAGATCATTCTGGGTGTTGAATGCAAAACAGATTGCAAGAGAGCAAGAAAGATCCATTTATTTGGATTTATTGCATACCTTCTGTATGTTGAGCACTGTTACATGAGACAGAAGATGCCGTCTTTGGTGGGAGTGTCCCCACAGAATCCTGTGTTGAAATCAGATGAGCCATTGTGACAGTGTTGAGGGTTGGGACTTAGTCTGACTATGGAATTCAAAGGTGGGAGTTTTGGGGAGTAGGTGGGCTCCTGTTCCTGGTCCTATGTGGGCTCATAGGACACACAGAAATGTACAGACATGTGCTCTTGCTCTGCTAACCCTCCTCGTGTGACGCCCTGTGTTCACCAGGATGACGCTCACCAGATGCAAAGACACCGCTCAGCTTGCAGGGTTTGGAGAGGTTGTGCAGTGGATTCTGCAGGAAGCACCAGAATGAGGGATTGGCATGTGCATCAGCCCCGAGGCGTGAGAATGCAGGGGTAGGAGCCAGAGGGGGTGCATCTGTGCTGAAAGAGGCCGTGGGCACAGCTCAGGAAGCCCTCACGTGCTGGTCTAAGAGGAGAGCGTGAAGTGTAGGCTGAGACAACTGGGGAGACTTCCTGCAAGAGGCTGACTTTCGCCTGCAGCATTTCTGTTAAGGATTCCCTGTGCTCCAGGAGCTGGTGGCCTATTTGAAAGGAACAGAAAAGGTGTGTGAGACTTAGAAGGGTCAAAAGCATCGAGCTATTAATCAGAAGACCCAGCTAAGTCCCGGATTTCTTGCTTGTGCTGGGCACCTCTGTGAGCAGATTCTGCAGTGGCTTCTGGTGAGGTGGCCAAGAATGGTACAAGCAGTAGCCTGGCCTTCTGGAAGACTGCCTGGGGATGTAGGCAGTGAACTAAGATGAGGAGGGTCAGGGCAGGATCTCAGCCTCGGCATTGCTGACATCTGGAGCTGGATATGTCTTGGTGGAGGGGGCTCGCTGTGCATCAAAAGATGTTGAACAGCACCCCAGCCTTCACCCATGAGGTGCCAGTGGCATCCACTTGCCAACTGGGAGAGGTAAACTGCAGATGGTGCCATGTGTCCCAGGCAGGGTACGTCTGGGTATGTGTGTGTGTGTGTGTGTGTGTGTGATATGATCCCCCTTTGAGAGCCACTGGTGGGAGAAGTGGAGACGCCAGTCGGGGTGGGTGGCTTTCTACCAGAGCCCTTCTCCTCTCCAGATCTGAGATTCCCTCAGCAACAGCAGGTGGTGGGGCTGTATTAAATCCAAACAGCCCTTACAGAGCTGAGTCTGTGATTTTCAGTGTCACTATGAGATTCTGGCCACAAAGGCATTTTAGGGACAAATAGCATGGCTACATAGCTTAGGGGAACCCTCATAGGAAGAGACCTTGTGAATGAGCAAAGGAGAAATTTGGGAGCCGTTGTTCCCATTTCACAGATAAGGAAACCGAGACTCAGAACAGTAGCAACTGGTGCTCAACAGCTCATCTGCCCTAGAAGTACTACGTTGCAACTTTTAGGGGAGAGAACCAAGATAGTATTATTTTTTGTCCTCTAAGGTCCTCAAAGAAGGCAGTTCCTAATGAGTAAAATTAGCTATTTTTTTTTTAAAGCTTTTCACCATAGGACACATTGTACTCACCAGAGAGAGGGGTGCTCCCTGAGGGGGGATGGCCACATTACAATCCCTTCTCGTTCTGTCGGGATTTGGGACACACATTGCAAATGAGCCTGGTGCATGATTCTTTTCAGGCCACCGGGTTCGGGACTCCAGCCATGGTCAGCCATGTGGGAGTCCACTATGCCACCTGCTGGCCCCCAAGATTAGCTTCTTGCTATAACCCATGTCTCTCTTAATAACATAGATTATGTTGCAGACACAAACAAGGGCCTGGCAGCTAGGGCCCTGGTTTTGTCTGTGGCTTTCTCTGTCTTACCCAGAGTGGCTCTGGAACCAGCACCAGTACCTGGTGGCTAAGGCAGCCAGATCCCAAATAGCCGACCATGCAGTTTGAGTCCTGGCTCTGGCAGCTTGATAAACTTCAGGTCCTATGTGCGAGCATGTCCCAAATCTCGACAGGGTGGAGAAATGGAGAAGAGACCATGCCCCACGGGGAAGTGCTTTCTGCCTCTCTCTGTGAGCACCCATGGCTTCTGACAAACATATATTTTTAAAGAAGAGTGACTTTGAAGACCCTCCTCATCTTGCTAAGTCTTGGGTTCCTTCTCTGTCACATAACGGGGACAACAGTTCCTTCACTGGGGCTCTCCACAACACTAATGTTAGCGTTAACAATTTTATTTGTTTGTTTTTTTTTTTTGCTGGCATGATGGGCACGTAATACTGAACTAGCATTTTTGTCAGCATTCATTAGGGCTAAGTGTCTTTCCATGTAGCTGTTACCATTTTATTGGATTGTCTTCCCACACCTGGCCCAGGCCCCTCTGCAGTACATTTTTTTTCTTTTTATTTTATTATTATTTTTTTTTTTTGGACAGGTTTTCGCTATAGGGCACGTGTGCTCGCCAGAAAGACAGAGAGAGACAGAGAGACAGAAAGTGAGAAATCACCCCCCAGGGAGAATGGCCACACTGCAATCCATTCTCCTCTCAGGATCTTGGGCACGCATGCACACGCGCCCGGCGTGAGTTTTAAGCCACCGGGTCCAGGACGCGAACCGCGGTTGACCACGTGGGAGTCCAGTGACATAGCCATTACGCTAACTGCTGGTCCCCTGCAGTACATTTTTTTTCTGAAGTGCAGCCTGTGGATGCCAATCCTTGGGTTCCCACTGGAAGGGATGAGGCCATGGGGGTGGAGCAAAGAGAGGCTTCACCACATGGTATCAATGGGAAGGGGCAGGGCTGTGGAGCCAACGATATGGAGACCACCTGCTTTGAATAAAGACTCAGGACCGGGGCCTGGCAGAGCTGAAGTCACACCCATCCCAGGTTCCAGCCTGCAAGCTGTTGAGACGACCTCATGACAGAACTGAATTTGGGATGCCAAGCACAGGAGCTCTGTTGGGGAGAAAAAAGTCCCTGCCTTAAAATGTTCTGAGCCTGGTGGGAAGGCCAGCCTTGGCCTGGGCAGTTGGCTTTATCTCCCATGAGGGTGACTCACACCCATGGGAGCGGAAGAGCTGATGGAAACCCCCGAGACACACTCTTTACCAGACCCGTGTCACAGCCCTGACTCACAGTGTCACAGCCCTGACTCAGAACAGATAAGCCAGAGCTCACTCTGTTCTCCCACTTGGATTCATGAGAGGGTGCTCAGAGAGGTGAGGGACTCTCTGTGGGCACACAGCCCTTAGGAACTGAGCCAGACACCTTTGCTTCCCTTCCTGTTGCCCACAGCTTCCCCTAAAGCTACCTCATGAGAGGGGGCAGTCAGCATAGAAGCCATGAGAAGTGGCTGCTGACAGGCCAGGGTCTTTTGGGAACCACAAGGTCCCAGGCTCTGCAGGGTTAGGGTAAGGGTGGGTGTCAGCCCCTTGTGCATGGACCCCTCGCCCTCACCTGATCCCCAACCTGGAGCTGGTGGGCTGAGCCAGGTCAGCTGGAGTTGCATGCCTCCTCCTGCAGGGGTTCAGGAA